TGTTCAGAATGGTTTGATCCCTATTCAGCTGAATTCCTGAGACCAGAGGAAATCCAGGTCTCCACTCCTCCACCATCTTGCTCCGCCCCCAAAGCGTGTATCTTTTCTAATTAGTGTTTTCATATTCTTTTTGTAAATGCTCAGTAGTAGAATTCCTGGGTCATAGGGTAGTTCTATTTTTAATTTTTTGAGGAACCTCCATACTGTTTTCCACAGTGGCTGCACCAGTTTGCATTTCCACCAAGAGTGCAAGAGGGTTCCTTTTTCTGCACATCCTCGTCAACACTTGAAATAAAAACATGATTTTAATCGTTTTGGTGGTCATTACTCTATAGGCTCACTAAATGAGGTTTTCAGGATTTCTGATGTCTAGTCCTGGTTTGACAGAGCCTAGGCTGTTCGCTACATCCACTGCATTAGTAAATAACCTTACATTTTAAAGTGCCTCACAAAAGGCCCTATATGCTTACAAGAAAAAAAATATTTCTTTTAACTCTATCCTTGGGAAGAAGGTATGAGAATATGCACTTTATTTATTTTTATTTTCTATTTTTATTTTATGTTTTTGAAGATCTAGTTGGTTTTATTAAACAATTCATGAATTGGGCAGTATCCCTTCTAGCTAGTGGAGGAGAGCTCCTGAAAATGTGCATTTTCCAAGTGAGAAAAGGAAAGCATTAAGTGATTTGCCAGTTTTCGGTTGCTGGTGATTATTTGCTTCAATCCCTGTCTTCTGATTCCTCCGTGTGTCATTGCGGATTGTTCTATGAAGGGCTGATGTGTTAGTTTAATTATATAACTTAGTCTTTTTCCTTTGTGGCTTCTCTCTTGGTCTCTTTTTAAAAACCTTTCAGTGTGTTCTGCCAGGGCCAGGAATTGTACAAGTTCTTTAAGAAACATCTTATTTTAGTTCAATCCTCTCTCTAAAAACCAGTGTCGTCTTTTAGCAATAATAATTACAAATAGGGGAGTGTAGTCCCAGGCTGCATATTAAAGGTAATTAAATCTCAGGAGTTTCTCAGGATTCATAAACTACTTAAGCTCTATGCTTACTCTTTATTAAATGTAACATAACTTTGTGATTAAATTGCAGTTTGGTATTTAGTCTGGGACCCCACATCCTTTTACTCATATAAAATCATAGTTGTTTTCACTAAAGAATAGCAGAGTTGTCCAGAGAAATGGAGAAAAATGAAGCCTTTTATTTTATTTATTTTTTTAGGTAAATATGGGAGTCTTTCTTTCCTTGCACCCTCTCATCCCCACCCTCATTCCCCTGAAGTTCAAGTGCAAGGAGCGAACCATCCTAGTAAATGAATGTAAATTACACAAATGATGAAGTCTGGTGAAGCTTCGTGATGAAAAGCTGCCAAGAGCTTTTCAGGGTGGTTCAGCATTTTTGCTTAGGAGAGTTCATTTGCATAATTTCCAGGATCCTCTGGAGTTCTTTATTTAAAAAAGAAAGAGAAAGCTTTCTACAGTTATAACCTGGGGGTATCTTTTTCTCTTGACATTGCATTGACATTGTACTTAAATAAAACAACATTGTAGCCTTGATGGTCTGTGAGTGGTTAAGATCTCTGCCAGCTACTTTTCCCAAAGCTTTCTCCCTGTTTTCTCCATATCTGATCTAGGAATACTTAAAGGGTTTGACCTCCTGTGATGATTTAACAGTATTTAAGTGATGTTTAAGTGACATATTCTCATACTTCCCCTTCATTGCTCTTGGATGAAGTGAAATTAATTTGCTTATGAAACTAAAAGAATTCCATCTGTCTCTTGTCCTGTTTGTCTTGGAGTTGTTCTGACTCTAGGTACACACGGAAACAGGGCCCTCACCATGGATAGAAAAAGAACCATTTGTTAAACGTCGTCCCAGAAAAGGGCTAATTTCTTAAGAGAATGACAGCCTTATTTAGCCCATACGATTATTTATTTTTAAAGATTTATTTATTTATTTGAAAGAGAGAGAGAGAGTACATGATGGAGGGGAGGGTCAGAGGGGGAAGCAGACTCCCCGCTGAGCAGGGAGCCCGATGCGGGACTCGATCCCGGGACTCCAGGATCATGACCTGAGCCGAAGGCAGTCGCTTAACCAACTGAGCCACCCAGGCGCCAAGGGTTTAGAAATCATTGTTTCACCAGAAAACTGAGGTTCGTAGTGATTTGTACAAGGTAACAAGTCTGGCTCAAGGCCTCACAACTCGGAGTCTGGACCTACGGTGGCCCCCAATACTGGAATTCTTGTGGACTCTCTAATTTCCAGCCCTCTGCCCTCTGGGCTGTCCGGGCACTTGGATGGGACAGTTGAGCCACCCCTGTCTGGGGCTTAGCAGGAATCCCAGTCACACTGACCCTCCATCATGGCACCTGCCAGTTGGCCATCTGTCTCTGTCTACCAGTCAACTCTTCCTTTTCCTTTTTGAGATAGTTAATAACCTCAGGCCTCATGGAGATGGCAATCGCTCTTACAAGAAGTGTAAAATTTGTATTAATATTTAATTCCCACAATTTGGAAGAACTTGAAACTGCAATTAGATGTCAGTGCCCATCTGCTTCCAGCAGGCATACACGCTCTTATTAGAGCTCTCGGAGGCTGCTGAGGGCCGCCCGTCACCTTCGCGTGTGTTCCTTAACAATGTGCGCACAGTCTCTCAAGAGGGAGCTCCAGATGGTGAAGGAAACTCTGCAGGCCATGATCCTGCAGCTCCAGCCAGCAAAGGAGGCGGGAGAGAGAGAGGTTGCAGCTTCCTGTGTGACAGCTGGTGTCCGGGAAGCGCAGGCCTGAGGCGGGACAGGATGCAGGGGGAGGAGGGTCAGCGGCCACATCATCGACATGGGTGCACGGGAGGCCTCTCTCACCTCCCCGGCATGGCCAGTGTGCCTGAATCCATTACGGACACAGGGCCCCGAGGGCTCCCTGCCCCGACGGTCCCTCTTTGTGCTCCTGGGGCTGAGAGCAGGGAGACCGCACATTGGAATATGGAGGGGGACGATCTGCTGGATTTCCTTCCAAGTGTCAGCCAGAGGCACATTTCCCGCGTTGCTCATGGGAGCATCCTACACAGGACTTGAAAATCTTCTCATCTCAGCTCCCATTAGACAGAGCTGGGGTTGAATTCTGCTAGAAAAATATCTCTTTTCCTGTACCACTTGCTTTCTGTTGCAATTAAAGTATCTCCTGATTTAAGAACCTGTAAAGAGGAAACTAAATGTAAGTATCACCATACCTGTTATACTTTCCTACAAGCACATGATCTAAGGGAGCTAATTAACCCCAGGATCTGGAATTAACAGCTTTTCACCTTCTCCTGTGATTCACTATAATCTCAGAAGAATACATATGAAAAACTCCAAAAGACCTTGCTTTAAAGTAACAACCTGTCAATGAGGTGCATTCTTTTGATTTTCCTATTATGGCAACACCTGTTTCTACTGAAAGGGTCCCTGATGTTTCACCAGGACCTCCTGGAATTTGCCCACAATGACAGCAGGAAGGGAGCAGGGGCATGAAGGGATCAGATGACAAGTTTAAACTTCTGGGACTCTCCTCTTTTCCTCCCTAACCTGTTTCACTCAGTGCCAGGCAGGACATGGATGTGGACACCTTCATTCAGTACAGTGCAGTATTCAGTAAGAGAGTGCATATACTCAGGAAGGCAGTGCATACTCAGTAGGGAAGTACAGTACTCAGGAAGGCAGTGCATACTCAGGAAGGCAGTGCAGAACTCAGGAAGACAGGGCATACTCAGTAGGGAAGTACAGCACTTAGTAAGGCAGTGCAGTACTCAGGAAGGCAGGGCATACTCAGTAGGGAAGTACAGTACTTAGTAAGGCAGTGCAGTACTTAGGAAGGCAGGGCATACCCAGTAGGGAACTACAGTACTCAGGAAGGCAGTGCAGTACTTAGGAAGGCAGTGCAGTACTCAGGAAGGCGGGGCATACTCAGTAGGGAACTACAGTACTCAGGAAGGCAGTGCATACTCAGGAAGGCAGTGCAGTACTCA